TTAGACTAGGCTAGACATTTTGGTATTTATTATTTTTTTCCACGAGCTATCCGAAAACCAGAATTCTTCAACAATCTCAACAAGATTTCTCTGGTGTCTAAATTTTGTCTTCAAAAGCCGGGGTTTTGCAATAACCTGTCTGGTTTTTTTCACTAAATAACTCATAATGTACAGTCAATATATAGCTTTTATCTAAGACTGGGACCAAGGTCGGGACCCGAACCAGAAAAAATTTATGACTGGGACCTGGACAAGAAAAAAATTATGAGCGGGACCAGAACAAAAATTACGACCGGGACTAGAAAGATTTTCACCGGGACCGAAAAATAGTGCTTTTACAGATGCCTACCACACCCACCCAAACCCACTCCCACACTCCACACCACACACACCCACCCACATCCCACACCCACACCCGCAATTAGAGACACCATTCGACTCTAAACAAGGTACTGTTACCGAGTTACTGAATTGGAGAATTTTTTTCATAGTAATCCGATTGAAATTTTTTTCTTTTACTTGGCGTAGCGCAAAACTCTAATTTTCTGAAACCTAGTTGCTTACGACTCCCTTCAAACATTGTCCGATCGGACTGAAATTTTTACCACAGATACTTGCAAGTATCCTCTAGAGTTAAAATCAACCGTTTTCGCTTTTGACTTTTCTACCAGAACTAATAGAGACCTGGACGCCAAGACCCATGTATTGGTTCTGAATCTTTGCGTATTTTTCTTATAAAAAAAAGGTGAGATTTTTAAGCAAAGCTTAAATTTGCCTCTGAGAAATAGTCTTAGGTATCTCAGAAAAAATTTTCAGTCAAATCGGATAAAGTTTGATGGGGTTGGTAATGTACCAGATTGCAAGTCTCTGAAAAACCAGGGTTTTCTAGAAAACCTCACGAAAATCTACTTCAAAATTTTTTTCCTTGGACACATATCTCCTTATTTTTGGTGCTCTACCTGTGGTGAAAATTTCAGCTTGACCGGTTGTATCGTCTCCGAGAATCAAACAAGGTCCGAAAAGAGGCCACTTACTCTTAAGAACAGATAACATGAAGAAAAAAAAGGTTATTATCTTTTTATATAGGTTTGATATTTTGTTTTTATACAAAAATATCGAAAACGATTTTTTTTTTGTTTAATCAGTCCGATTTAAAGTAGTTGTTTATTTGCTTTATGTCATAAAACACAAGTTAGAATGGATGTAATCTTCAGATGGTACCTCAATCACGTGGATAAAGTATTGGACATATAGCATCTGATTATAGTTACAAATTGTTATTGATCTTGACCAAGCGAAGTTTTACTAACTTTTATTTCGAAGAAATTTCTTTTTTGGACAGTTGTCATCAACGTAGCCGTCTTCGGCGGAAAAATCTTTAAGAAATGGTGTAAATTTCATGCAATAATGATTTTCTTTTATGAAGAAATAAAAAAAATAACAATTTTTTTTATCAACCAGTAAAATAGATTCGTTTTGTGAAATAGTAAAAGCTACATCAACCTGATCAGCTTTTTAAAGTTTTAAATCTATTTTGTGGAGTTTTGGTTATCTTTTTTCTCCAGAAAGATCATTTTGGTCTACTGTACTCAGTACAAATGGCTTTAGAGAGAAAGATATTCAGAAACTTTTTCGAACTTGGTATGAATGTAGTTTTCTCTCAAGACTCAAAGATAAAACTATTTCCTATCAGTTTTCAAGCTGTTTTTGTGCTGAAAAAACTGTTGTATTATAAATATAAAAAATTACTCCTTTTGATAAGACATGTTAATTTTTCTTAAATTTGATCAGTTCGGAACGTCTTTTCACATCGTTTTTTGCTTCTTCCCTATTTTTTATTGGCACATAATAGTGTGTCTCTCTTCTATTTCAATATGCACTTTTCTATATTAATAGAATACCAACTATGTATGATATATGAAAAAAGAATTTATGTAGAACAAACAATTAAAATCCTGTTGCTACTTGAAGTATATCCCACTCTAACGAAGAAGTTTTTTATACCGTGCTCTCTGTCATTTTAGTATCAACTTAGTAAAAATGAAACAAAAAGAAGTTCATTTGATCTGATTATATACTTTGTCAAAAAGCCTCTTAATAACTATGTTCTTGTTACTTATCTTCCAGTCCTTGTTTTTATAATATGTAGTGTATTAACTCTGGTTATATCTCTATCAATGTTGATAATAAGACTTTATTGAGGTACATTCATCATTTTCATTGGTGGATCAAACTCTTTTCAATTGGTGCATTAGATTTAATTCGTTTCTCTCTTCCTCCAAATGTGTTATATCTGAATGAACTTTTCTGCCAATCACGTTTCTTCATTCTGAATTAACTTTTCTAATGAATACAAGGTCTTATTCGAATGCGCAATAATCGTTATCATTGGTTTTTAGAATGAATTTAATCGATAGTGAAACATTTTATACTCTATTACGAAACAAATATGTTCTTCTTTTTAGTGATTCAATAATGCGTTTTATGTATAAAGATATAATATTATTTGTTCAAGGACAAAATCGTTTATTAACAAGTGATGAATGAAAAACTAAGTTAGATGATAATGATATGTCAACATTAAATGATTAATTATTAACTGGTGATAAAAAAACAAATGATACATCATATTATGAAAGACGTTCTTGTTTAACAAATACACATTTAATAAAATTTGTTTTTTACACGATGTTTTAATGAACAACTGAGAAATCAATTATGTGAAATGTCTGAAAATAAATCTATTATACCAGGTATTATTCTTCTTAATTGTGCTATCTGGGATATAACAAAATATGAAAAAAAATCGTGAAAAAGATTATGCACAATTATTTGAAGAATGTTTTCGTTCAATACGTTCAATTATTCAAGCACAAACAATTGTTATTTGGCTAACAGCAACACCATTTTCAAAAGATGCTCGCGGTATCTTAGATGAAACATGTTCAGAAAAGAAAAAAATTTTCTTCGTATAAGAATATTTCGTATAAATACATTTTCATCAGAATTAGCAAAAAAACTATAATTTTCAAGTTATTGATCTTCATTATCTTGTTCGTAAACGGATACAACATCGTCATAAAGATGGTATGTATGAATTCATCTTGAAATTCCAACATATATTGTACGTTA